TGCATTGGTGGTAGACAACCTTTACGGAAACCAAACTGCTGGTTTGGAAGCGCGTTTAGGGCTGGCTGTAGTCTTCTGCAGATAATCCTCTCTAGGATCTTTCCCGGTGCAGGAAGCAATCTGATTGGGCAAAACCCATTCACTCTTGTATTATCTTTTCCGAGTTGGGGATTAAGATGACAACCGCTTGTTTCCACTCAGCTATGAAATAGCATAGGTACAGGCAGGCGTTGTAAATGCTACAGAGTTTGTTAATGAAATTACCAGGCAAATGTTTAATCATTGAATTAGAGATTTTGTCCTTCCCAGGTGCCTTTCTGTTATGAAGTTTAGCTTTAATAGAGCTAACTTCTGTGGGAGAGGTAAAAACAGGGAGATTTTTGACACTGGGCTGGTTAATCCAATTATCGACAAACATGTTAATGTGACTAATGAAATTTCGGTCTGAAGGGGTCTCATTTGGAGTGAACTGCTTGGCGAAGTGGGTGGCAAAGGCTTTAGCTTTGTCTTCGTTGCTGTATTTGAATCCAGTGTCGTCCTGTAGAGGTTTGTTGCTTGTTTTTGTCGACTTCATTAAACGGAGGGACTTCCAGAATTCTCCGTCTTCCGCATTTAATTTTTCAATTTTGTTATTCCAAAGTTTAGTCTGGTGGGAGTCAATTAACCTTTTAATATTGCGATTAAGTTTATTAATTTGCGATTTAATTGCTGGGTCACGTGAGTGGGCGAAGATCTTGCGGAGTCTATTTCGTGTTTGGCTAATTAATTTAATTTCTTGCGGAAGTTTGAAGTGATGTTTTTTTATTAATAATTTCTGTAGTAGAATTTTGCAATGCCGTTATCAATGCAGGTGGTGATGCTTGTGATAGCCTGGTCGATATCATGCGTATTTTTAAGTTGCTCTGTTTTGGGGAGGTGATGATTGTTAATTTCAGATTTGAATTTGTCCCAATCAGTAATTTTGTAAGTGGTGTTGGCTTCAGGCCTGCCAATACCAAGGTGTGCCAGAACTGGCACGTGATCTGAAGAAAGATCATTGATTACTTCCGTAGTGATCGGTAAGTTATCAGATGTGAGGAAAAGATCCAGTATGTCTGGATACTGTCTTGGGTGAGTAGGCCGGAAAGTAAAATCTTCTGGAGGGTAAGGGGTAAATGTAGTATGGGTAATTGAACAGGAAGTTTTGAAGGATATCACCGTTTTTTATTTGTTTTGCGGCACCCCCAGCTAACATGTTTAGCATTAAGATCACCTCCGATTATGGTGGGAAAGGGGTTATTTAGCAAATTCTGTAAGTGTTGATCTTGCAGCCTGAGATCTGGAGTGTTGTAAAGGGCGCGCATACAAGCATATTTCCCCAATTAGGGATCCGAACGACTACCCTTACTTCTTCAAACCCGTGAGAATTGTCAGAAGCGTAGAAGCAGGAATCCAAACTCCGCTTAACATAGATTACGGCACCTCCGCCTCTATGTCTGATCCTATCGCAGCGATAACTGCGATAGTTAGCAATACTCAGGGAGTGCGCTGGCGTAGCGTGTGTCTCAGTGATTAGTGCAATGTCAATGTTGTAGTGTGTGAGAAAGTCCTGCAGTTCGCTAATTTTGGTGATAATGTTCTGCGCATTCCATGTCATGATCGTCACTGGGGTCATTTTTACTAAGGACCTACGATCCATAATTTATCTCAGTATCGGGCCTCACTGTATTTTGCTTTTCAGCCATGGCAGTTGTATTGTGTAGAAGCGCTATAAGATCAGCGAGGTTCTTCATGACCTGCTGAGCGTCCGCTACAGCTTTCTGAATTTTCCCAGCGAAAATATCAGATTGAAAGAGCCTGGGCGTAGGATTTATTGACAATGACCCTTTCATCAAACTTGGGGGCATTGGGTTTCTGCTTTGGGAAGGCCTCACATCCCCTCCAGTTGCTGGTATGCTTCCCGAGACAGTTACAACATTTCGGTTCAGAATCTTTAGGTTCCGGGCAATCCCGGCTTTCATGAGGGCCTGCACACTTACAGCAGCGAGGCGGGTGGTGACACGCCGCCTGCGCGTGATGGTATCCTTTGACATCGAAAGCATTGTGTCGGCCCGCGCCGACCACGATATCTTTCGACTTTAATGTGCAAGTACATTAGATATTTCAGATGATATATCTCATTGTTCCTAGGGTTCTTAGAGAAGAGTGACCAGAAATAGGGGAGCATTTTAGCCCTATCTTTTCCTCTGTCCTTCATCAGTTGTTCCACTTAGAGCGCAGTGAAATCTTTTTCACGGAGCTTCTCCTGAATGTCCATGGGTTTCGCATCAATGGGAAGATTTCTTATCACGACTTTAAGATTCTTCTCCTCAGGGAGAAGGAACGAGTGATTTAAAAGTAATAAGAAAGTTCTTTTTTGTCGAAAAGGGCAGTCATGCTTCGGAAGGTTATCCGAATTTTTTGTGTGTATCTCATAGTTGCCTTCAGCTTTCTTTTTCCCGGTGAAATCGGTCAGTTGTTCCTTTTCAAGCAGTTCAGTAAAAGATTTCCAGTTGTACTTGCATTCTCGTATGCAAATCGGCGGCATTTTCACCGTCCTGTGCGGGAAAGTGAACTGACCCTCAGTTCGGGTTGCTCCAGTCTGAGTTTCACGAGCATCACTATCCATTGGCCCAGCCGGGCACGTGACCTCATCCAAGATGTTGATTGGCCGAGCTACGTTTTCTGCCAAAGACATACTCGCGTGAGCTGACTTTTCAGTAGCCCCAATAGATGGCGCCACATTATCATGACTACTGGCAGCAACCTCGTGTGTTCGAGTGTTAGGGCCATCCACACTGATTGGTTGATGAAAGGCAGTGTCGATCACGGCAGACGAATCGCGTGGTTCTTCTTCCTGAGCGGCAGGATTCAGAAGTTTCTCTTCCTGAGGAACAGGATTCACAGATTTTTCTTTACCTTTTGGGTTTATAGCCGGGGTACGGCGTTTCCCGTGCGTTCGCCTAGTTTTCCGGACAGATTTCTTAATTTCTGTGTAATTTCCATCATCCGAACTGTCCATGTCCAGTGGAGTTCCTTCTTCAGCAAAGGAAAATCTGTTAGCGACTGGAATATTGAATTCAATGGTGGGACTGAGCGGGCGTTTACTGCTAGTCCGCGTCTCATCCACTATCATAGATTCCGCAGCCAAGTTTGTCATAGATTGTCCAGGTTCCGGTTGGTTCCCTAGCAGGTATATTTTTCTTTAACGTCAGTGTTTTCAGATCCTTGGAGAGTCATTTTGTGGAGTGTGGCTCTGAAACCGCGAAGTACTCGTAGTTCCATACTCTCCTTTTATCAGTGAGTGGCTTGTCATCAGGTCTCACTTCGTACTCTGTGATTAGCACTCCGAGAAAGTCAAAGAGCTTTTCCATCATTGTTCAGTCGGGCAGAGGTCGTAGAAACAACAGACACGTGTTCGTGCTTTTATGTTCGCTAGGCCTTTTTACGGTGCTCGTAGCCGGGGCCAAAGCACCAACCTACTATTAGCCCTTAACAGCAAAAGGAAGTACGCAAAATCAAGTGCAGGGAAAATCAGAGCGAGGGCCTGAAGCTCCTTTATGCTCCGAGCTAAACTCAGAATCACGTGGACTAAGCCACATCCACATCCTGAGCCTGGAAACTGGTACACAGACCTGAAACGGTCTTTAACCAGGCAGCTACGTACCCTTGAAAGGGATTCCAAATTTAGAAGTACTCCAGAAGCATTCGCTTCTATTGGAGAGTGGCGCCATCCTTTGGCACCGGTGAAAAATAGGCATAAGATCTCGATTTAGGCTTAGCTTCTTCATAGGTGTCGCCATCTGTTGGTTGGTCTGCGTAAGAATTTAGTTTTCATCTTCAGCGAATTGTAAGGCTATTTTTACTGCTTGGAATGCTATTGCGAGTTTTTCAGTGTTTGATTTTGCTTTCAGATTTTGCTTCCCAAATTGTGTTTTAATATTTTTTGCGATGGCAGTCATGTCCTGAATGAATTTAAATATTTTTGGATTTGAAAAGACTTCTGTTAGAGGGTTATCATCTTCTGTTGAAATTTTTTGTCCTTTTAGGATTGCACTGTATGAGATATTTCTTGGAGTTTTCTTTATTAGTTGTTTCATTTTTTGAAAGGGCTGAGAAAAGTCTTTAAGTTTTGGAATTTCTTGAGGTTTTTCTGTTGATTTAGTTTGGAATCTCTTTTTATACATAGGACATCCACGATAGGACGAGACGTGCTCGCCTTGGCAAAAATAGCAAGTAGGTTTGTCATCATTTTTTAATGTACAGGTATTTGTACGATGATTCTTTGAACATTTGCAACAGATATCTTTTTTAAAACAGTTATTTTGTGAGTGTCCATAATTTTGACATTTGTAGCATTGGACTGGTCTTCTGTTTTTGGGGGAGTATTTTGGACTAAGCCAAAGCGATGCGAGATACTTATACCTGAAGTAGATATGACGTCATCTCACGGCAGCCAATCAGCTGTTAGCACGACTCAGCTTTCCAGATGACGTAACATCGAGTTCGTTTTTGCATCTTAATTAGGCTGGAACAGTCCGTTCTTAATACAAACAGTGGCAGTGGAAAAGATGTAAAAGTAATTGTTTTATCCCTTTAAAATAAGAACTAAACCTTATGTTAATGTTAGAATTATTTGAAGGAGGAGAGATGATGCAGAAAAAGGGTTACAATAGGTCATATTTTCAACAACATTTGTGCAAAGTTTTATCTCATAGGTTTATGAAGTATACACAGCAACTTCCCCTCATCTTGACTAGAAAACACCTACAAATCTGCATTTTCTGCCAAATGAGCTGCAATTTTTATTAAAGATTTTAATTTAGGTTTTCGTTACTTTATATGTTGCAAAATATATTTCTGAACTGAATCTTGATGCTAATATCTTGAAACAACTTGTGTTAACATTTTAAACACATGAACTTCTTAAGAAATATTTATAACATTATATAAAATCTTTAAATAAAACGAAAACATTTTAAAAATGTAAAAATTCTTGTTTATTATACATTAATATATTAAAGCTCAAATATATTTCTTCAAATACTACAGAAAGATATATAACATCAAAACAAACATTTTTCACATTAAACAGGATTTTAAACTGCAACATTTAAAATATTCTTATATCAGCACAGAGTTTTAATTTTGTTCTTTTGCTGAGGAAATGTACAGTAATCATTACAGAACACATGTTGCAAAAGACAGTCAATCAACAAAAATACTTTTATGCACATGGATCTCATGAACTTCAGAGCATCAACAAATACAGACATATTAAAATACAAGTTACTCAGCAGAAAACAGAGCATTTAAAAGTGCGTGAGTTATTATATATATATACATTTTTATTTATTTAAAAATATCTACTATAGTGCACAATCCACTGCATTAAAGCAAGTGGTTAATGAATACAACCACTATGAGTACAAAATAATATTGCTGCCACACAACACTGAATTAAGACCAACATGGCCTGTGCTGCACTTTTTAGCATGAAGCTAACCAACAAAATGAATTTGCTAATATATTTCTTTTGCAGAAGAAAAACATTTATTTTGCACAAATTTATTATGGACTTTTCCTGCAAAATTTTTGAAGTTGGTGAAAGCAATCAAAGTCAGTCAGCTTTGAGAGGAGAGCATAAAATAAGCTAATATAGCATAAGCAAATAATTTAGACAGTAATACTACAGAGAATTATATTTTCCTTATATAGATATCTCATAATTTCTATAACATTAAAAAAATTCACTTTCTCTTGTCCTTCCTTTTTACAAGATCTTTTGCTTGAAGTCACAATGAAACTATATTAATAATAATATGTCATTATAAACCTGCTCACATGCAGGCTGACAATTCAATGCTTGAAAACAGATTACTGACCAGAATACATTAGTGTACATTTTTAAAGTAAATATACATTCAAAAAATATGTCATACATAAAACTAATTATTATATGATTACTAATTATTAACTTTCATTTCTCCATAGACATTACTCTGAAGTAAATTCATCATCTCTTGCTATTCTGAATAACAACAGTTTATTTAGATAATTAAGCAATTTGTTATGCTTAATAATGTTCAGAGTACGGGTATTCTCAGAAGCATTTAATCTTAAAGATGTGCTATTTACATTGATGAACTGGTTGTCAGCAATTCTTACTAATAGTTTTCTAGATATTGATTCAATATACTGAGTTTCTGTGCTTGTATCTTTGCTGCACATTGAATAGTGTACACACCTGAAGTATCTGTTGTGATGACTGATTTTAACAATTTCCAGCTGGATGAGGCTTGGGTAATGCAAGTTTATAATCAAATCTATTAAACACAGAACTGGTGTCCAGGGTGACTGGGTGGAAAGGAAAAGTTCCAATGAGTTTACTTTTATTTGGTTTTGTATAACTTAAACTTTACTTTGTAAATTACTGCAGCAGCATTTCTATTGATTTTTATTGTCAACTTTTTTCACAAAACTTTGAAGACATGTATTGCTTTCTGCAATTTTCAGTATGCATTATTAACATTTTCATAAAATCCTGGTGCAGCACAGAAATCTTAGGCACATTTCAAGTAAAAATTAAAAGCAGCTGCTTTATACAAATGAAATGAAATATTTGAACAGGATTATTTTTGGGCTGCTAGTTGATGTGTGATAAATCGTAGTCCATATTTTATTTATTAAGTAAAATTGAAGGATAATAATTTACAATCCAAAGTTCTAGTTTGAATTTTAGAACAGAATTACTTTGCAGTGCATTTTTTGCAAATACTCTAGTAGCAGGTATATTATAGTTATCTCAATATGAAGAATAATCTAACAGTAAAACTGGAGGGGGGAATTGATACTTAAAATTTCCAAATATATTCAAAGTCTGCAGAATTTTTTTTTTGAAAACTCCTAAAATCTTTTTATATTTCAAAATAATTGCAATTATTCATATTGTTATATGATTACTAAACTATTACACCATCTATTTGTAACTGCTGTTAGTTGCTTAGTATTATCAGGCACCACAGTTCATAGTTTAAATTATATGGCAGCATTAATTTTAATAAAATTCCAAACTCTAGAGTGGGCTTTTTATCAGTACTACTGGAGATATAATAGAATTTGAAGCTACAGGCTGGTGTACAATTTATCAGACGCTAGCAAAACAGGGATTGGCATATTCAAACTGCATCATTACGAATTTCACCAAATGTTTAACTTAAAAAAAATACAATCATATATCAAATACATTTGAGTTAAGAGGACCATGTGCCCCAAATTGTGGGGCAATGCCTCATTTCAATGCAATGTCTCGCTTCAGAACACATATATGAAAACATTCCATATTCTTCAAACATTCTTGGATTTGACAAATATATAACTAACATCAATTTTTTACAGTCACTCAATACAGTCATGAAAATGCTTTTGTGGGATTAGAAATACATTTATCAAATGTGCTTTTTACACAGCTTCAGGGAACCTGCAAGGTGTTATGCTCAAAATTTAATACAAGAAACTTTTAGCTATTACCTAAGTTGGACTAATTGGTGCAGGACAGTTAAAATCTTTAACAAGTGATCCATATTAAAACACAGTGAATTTTGATATTTGGAGAGTAAGATAAACTATTATTCTTCTCTAGTGCCTCGTATTAAATCAAAATACATTTTGAATAATTATGAAACTTCATTTGAACTCATATCTAAAATGGGTATCTTTTTTACCTTATGAAAAATCTCAACACCTCATTTACCTGAAAACAGAAAATATCAACATACAATATTTTTCAATATTAGAAGTAGCCTAAGCCTAATTTCCAAGATATCATTATGCCATATTCCTAGAATTTCATAATACTCATAGATCAAGACTCCAGAGAAGAATTAACAACACTTAATAAATCAGTCATCAGTTCTCAAAATACAAATTCGCTCAGTAAATCAAACTTAAGATTCCGAGCATGAAATAATAATAATAATAATAATAATAAAAAATTACAGACACCAAGTAAAGCTCCAATAACCCTAATTTAGTTTAATAATGTTTTGTCCCACACTGGGTTGGGAAAAACCCGGTTACTTTGGCCTTATTCTTAAGGGCAAATTCAAAATGTTTTACATATATTTTGCATTTAAATTTTTGATTCCTGTTCCTTTTTTCATTTAATGATCTTTCTAACAGTCATAAACTTGCATAATATAAGGAATTAAGTATTTCCCACTTCAATTTACCTCAGTTTGATTATCAGTTTTTTTCATTAAATGTTTTTACTTTGAAGAATTATGTAGACCATGACAATGACAATGAAAACTATACAAACTTTTGTTCAAATGCAATGAAAGAATTTGTTATGAAAGAAATAAAAGAATAACACCTATGAATTCTAAAGTTAGTGAAGTATTTCATTTACTTTCAGCTTAAGTAGCTTAAATATTTTAAATGAAAATATTTATTAGTAATTACTTTAAGTAAAAGATACAGAAGTGTCCACTGTCAAAGAATTACAAAAATATTAAACTAAAGCCTCTCACACATGACAGTTTTGTGCTGAATTTAAAATGAAAAGTATGAATACATTTTGAGACACAAACTTGCACAACTTCTAGCACTCAGCCTGCATCACAAATTGATTCCTTTCATTCAGTGATTTCGTTGCACAGTGATTCCTTTCATTCAAAATCAATAATAAACTAGGAACAACATGGGTAACTTTTAAATTTCAATGAAAATGTTAAATCACATTTGCAGAGTTCACCCACAATAAAAAAGAAGCATACATTACATATTTATTATCTTATGGCACTATTTAAAAAGATACTGGCCTAACTAGCTCTAGAATGTACAATCTCATAAGAATCTACATTATATCAGCAATTACGTTAACATCATATAAAACCTTTAACTAGTAGTAAACACATTAAAGTTAAATGCCTCACAGTAATACAGAAAGATATTATCTTTTCACAATGCTCATGTGAATTAAGAGTTTGCATACAAATCAAATGAATAAACAATTTGTACATAGAGCTTATAAAAGAATTTTAAGTAGAAAACAGCCCCTACCAACATTTATCTAGTAACATTTTAAATTCAATTGCTAGTTACTTTGTGTTTCAAAGAAATTAAAATCAATATCACAGAGAAAAAGTGGTGTGTAGATAGGTAATACTGCAAATTCATTACTCACTCAAGAAAACAGCCTTTTTATGTGCTTCATACTGAGCACTCAATTTTTGGCTTGTACCTGAGCTATTCTTGCAGCAGCCCTATCTACACACTGTCTCATGTGTCACAATGCTGTAAAGGCTTCTGTGACTACACTGGGTGGTCTAGGACGAGGAGAATGAGAGTCTTCAGCTCCATGTGTACTCCTTATATGTGGGAAATGTCTCTGTCGAGTATAATACTCAGAATCTGAATGAGCATAATGATGCTGAGGTGAAGGCTCTGGTCTGTATGTTGCTCTCGGAAAAAGACGATCATTGTGATCACCATAATAGCGGTAACATTCTTTGGAAGGTTGAGAATTACGAGCTGATGTTTCAGGTCGAAAGCGATTTTGCCGTTTAATATGAATCACACGAGTTCCTTTTTCAGTTGGTAATCTAAATGGCTTAGTGCTCTGTAAAAGAAAAAACATGCTTTAATGAGCTAAATATTAAAACGTTAGCAAATGAACTTGAGTATTTAAAGTCATATTCAGAAGTAAATTACATTCCAGAAGCTTTAAAATATTACAGTAATTGTGATTATATTTAAAATTTGCACAGTAATAAATCTGTCCCCAAAGAAATGAAAAGAAAATTTAAACCTATTTGACATATCTCACAGATATTCAATTACTATTCTTTTTTAATACAACTATTAAAACAACTGCATTTGACGTAAAATCCAATTCGGGGAAATACATGATATTTCCACTGCCAAAGAAATATTTTAATACATGAAATATTTTTAATTCAATTAATTAAATCAAATTCTAATCATATTCCTTAATAATGTGTTGGCAATTCTCTATCTAAATTGCATCCCTGTTCCTAATTTTTTGGCGAAGTTCTTTCTTTGTTATAAATTTATATTAACCTCCTGGCACCCGTCAGATCACCAAACTCATAAATCTGTCATATTACATAAAGTCCTTAAGAACACTCCTGATGAGAAGATAGCGTCACCTCGTGATCTCAATTAATACCGCTGATTGGAGGAGCACCATGACACACACATATTTATCTATAAATAGGGCTTCTGCTCAAGGTACGGAGGAGAACGCTTGTGAGATGGATGCTAAAATAAACCTACCACTTTATATTCCAAAATTTGTCTCATTCCTGTTGCCCCGGCTGCACAAAACAAATAATGTATGAGAAATTACATTTCAGAAAGCCGGTAGGATACCACCTTCAAAGGGATTATCTAAAAAAGAAGATACCCCAAGGATTATACGGATAAAATGTTACGCACTTTAGATGAATTTGCCGCTGTGCGACTTCTATGTTTCTACATTTTTCTCTAGGCGTTCTTGCTTCAAGAGAATCATCCTTCTGTTACCTGTATTCTGGTATTCTGCAGATTATTTTACGTCCAGAGAAGCATCTTTCTGCCCCCCTGTGATGTGTGATCTGTGTTTCCATCGAAAGTTTGTCGTTCATCAAATGTGCTCTTACCGTTGACCTACTTTTGAGGATGGAAATCTTTCCCTACGTCTACGCCGTTCTGTGTTGCTCTCGAGAGCTTTGTGCTTGTTTGGTGATTGATCGTGTTTTGCGAAAATCTACTCAAGAGTGCACAAAAATGTGTATTTTCGTGTCGATTTCATCACTCGTATTCTCGTCGTCAAACAGAAGCAATTAGTAAAAAGATTGGCGATGCAAATGATATTATTACTATTGAATTATAATTACTGATTTAATAATAGTGTTTTTATTTTGAAAATTTTAAAAAGTATTATTTTGGTATAAATGTATTTTAAATTGGTATTTAAAGGATGTATTTTGGTTTTAATATTGTTTTGGGAAAAATTTAAAGAGTATTATTTTGATTTAGTTTTATTTATGAAAGTATTATTAAGAGAATAATGGCTAATGAAAACCTCTCTGATCCTGATGATTCATTAAGGGCAGCTAGCGCTGAACCTGAAACAAGTATAATTCCCTTTGACGCGCAGAATGATATGGATATAAATTCATGGCTTGAGTACTTAACAAAACTCATTTAATAAAGATGGTGGAAGCTTAATGTAGCACTTAGCGTATATGTCAAAAACTGCCATAAAATTACTAAATATGTGGAATTAGTCCAAATTTTAAAAGGAAAATTTTTTCGACCCCACTTTAACTACGTTTGGTGATTTTGCCAATTACAAGTACAATCATAAAGAGGACATAACGCAATATTTTCGCAAAAAATTAGATATTGGTAAAAAATTAAATCTAAATGATCTTGGAGGGTCTGACGGATGGCCTTCCTATAGAATTAAAATCCTTAATGACGATCAACGCACCCTCTGACCCCATCTCTTGGCTTACTCATGTCCATAAGCTTATTAAGATTAGAGAAAATCAAGAAATCAAAAATGCCTCCCCCAGATTTTTTACTCCGATTGTGGACAACCAAGATTGCAATGAATTTGTAGGCAACAATTATTATTGGTCATAATAACTACACTATTTACTAGATAGACTACATTTCACTTCCCTTTAGTTTCAGTAGTTTCTAAGGTTGTCATGCCATAAAATCAGTAAGGAGTTAGCGAGGGCTACAAAGAATAAAAAAGATGTTATATATGGAAAATATTGATTCTTGCTTTTTGATTTTTGTTATTTAAATTATTATAAAAAGAACTTAGCAAGCAACCACATACTTGGTGACCTCGGAATTATTGATAAAGATGTCAGAAAGTGAAGAATCGGTGATTAAAGAAGAAATAGCACGGGTAAGTGTTAAAATACCTCCCTTTCGGGCTGAAAAGAAAGAGATATGGTTTTATCAAGTAGAAGCACAGTTTTCTATTTGTGGAATAACTGCCGAGGAAACTAAATTCAACTACTTAGTATCGCAATTGGAAGCAAAATTTGTTGAAAGTTTATGGGATATTATAAGTGACAATAGCAAAACCAAATATACTGCTGCTAAAGAACGTCTCTTGAACACTTTTAAAGAAAGTGAAAATAAACGTTTACAGAGACTGCTAACAGGCATAGACTTGGGAGACAGTAAACCTAGTCAACTTTTACAAAAAATGTGAAATCTTGCTACCGATGACATTTCGGATAAAGTTCTTAAAACACTATTTCTGCAGAAAATGCCAGATGCTGTGTGCAATATTTTAATCGTTAGTGATGAAGATATCGAAAAACTAGCTCTGATGGCGGATCGTATCATCGAAATGCAACCAAAACAAGAACTATACTGTGCCAGCAGTATTGTTCTCCAGGAACAGATGCTATTGCTGAATTACGACAACAAATTGCAGCTTTGGATAATAAATTCGAAAAACTAACTGTCACAAGAAATTCGCGTTCTCGCTCAAGAAATAGCAGTCGATCATCTAATAATCGAAGTAAATCTCGGAGCCATTATAACCCTAATGGCAAGTACTGTTATTTCCACTTTCGTTTTCGAGAAAAGTGTTTTCCTGATAGATGCAAACCCCCCTGTGCATGGAAAAACAGCTCCCCGGAAAACGAAAATCAGCAGTAGAATTAGCGGCAGACTCTGCTGCTGTAAATAAAGAATATTGCCGTAAATTCCGCTTATTTATAACGGACAAAAAAACAGGTTTACATTTTCTGGTTGACGGTGAAGCAGAGGTAAGCCTTATTCCTCGTACTTCTAAACACAAACTTATTAGCTACTATAAATTATATGCTGCGAAATAATACAGAAATCGATACTTTTGGTACAAGAAGTTTTAATTCTTGATCTTGGTTTACGCCGAAGAATTTCAATTCCCATTTATTGTAGCAAAAATTAGTAAACCCACATTAGGTGCAGATTTTTTAAATAAGTTCAAATTTATTGAGTGATATAAAGCATAAAAGGTTAATTGATGGTGTGACGAAACCTTGCAGTTTATGGTGACATCGCACCCATCTCTATTCAATGAAAGTGTAAATACAACGGGCAGCTTATGTAAATATTCTGATTTATTTGCTATGTATCCTAGTATAACAAAACCAAATTTTCTTATTTCTACTGTAAAGCATAATGTGAAACATCATATTATAACTAAAGGACAACCTGGTAAGTTGTAAAGCAAGACCAATTAGACTCATAAACGGTTGGAAATAGCTAAAGGAGAATTCAAATATATGCTGGACAATAACATCATTAGTCCGTCCAGTTCAAAATGGGCAAGTCCCCTATACATATGACAAAGAAAGACGGTTCTTTCCGCCCACGTGGAACAGAAGATTACAGAAGACTGAATGATTTAACTGTACCTGATCGTTATCCCATTCCTCGAATTCAAGATTTTCAACATATTTTAACTCATAAAACTATATTTTCTAAAATTGATCTCTTTAAAGTGTATTTTTCACATTCCAGTAGCAGATGAAGATAAAGAAAAAAACTGCTATTATCACACCTTTTGGTCTTTACCAATTCAATGTCATGAGTTTTGGTCTCAAAAATGCCCCCCGCGACCTTTCAGAGGTTCATCAATGAAGTTTTTATGGCCTAGACTTTGTGTTTTCCATATTTGGATGATGTGTTGATTGCCTCTTCTTGCGAGGAAGAACATCGTTTACATCTTAAAAACAATTTTCCAGCGTTTAGATAAATATGGTCTCCGAATTAATATTAGCAAATCAGTTTTGGGAGTACCTGTAATAGACTTTTTGGGCTATCAAATATCTGCTGAAGGTTCAAAACCTCTACCTGAAAAAAATTAAAGCTATCACAGAATATCCGTTGCCAGAAACTATACACCAACTTCGTTCCCTTCTTAGGACTGATCAATTTCTATCGTAATTATATTAAAAAATGCCGCAGAAACTCACTCAAGCTCCTCTTCATGAACTTTTGAAAGGATCTACAAAAAAAAAAAAAGATCGACGTAAAATACTATGGACCAATGAAACCAGAAAAGTTTTGAAAAATGTAAACAAGATATTGCTCAAGTAGCGTTGATGGCCTACCCCAATTCGGATTACCCTCTGGCACTTCTCACAGATGCATCCGATTTGGCTATTGGGTCAGTTATTCAACAAAAAGAACCAAATGGATGGAAACCTATTGCATTTTTTCAAAAAAGCTTAATGATGCCCAGAAAAATTATAGCGCTTACGATCGCGAGCTTTTGGGTATATATTTATCCATTAAACACTTTAAACATTTACTTGAAGGCCGCGATTTTACTATTTATACGGATCATAAGCCCTTAACGTTTGCTTTTAAGCAGAATCATAACAAAGCATCTCCCAGACAACTCAGACAGTTACAATATATCTCACAATTCTCTACTAACCTATGCCATATAAGTGGTCAAAACAATGTGGTTGCAGACAGCCTATCTAGGATTGAGGACATCGATTCACCTGTTGTTGATTTTGACCTGATAGCAGATGCACAAATTAATGATGATGGACTGCAACAGTTGAAATTACATTCCAAATCATT